GGTGGTGGTGGTGATGGTTGTGGTGGTGGTGATGGAGGTGGTGGTGGTGATAGAGGTGGTGGTGGTGGTCATGGAGGTGGTGGTGATGGAGGTGGTGGTGGTGATAGAGGTGGTGGTGGTGGTGATGGAGGTGGTGGTGGTGATGGAGGTGGTGGTCGTGGTGGTGATGGAGGTGTTGGTGGTGGTGATGGAGGTGGTGATGGTGATAGAGGTGGTGGTGGTGGTAGTGGTGGTCATGGTGGTGGTGGTGATGGAGGTGGTGGTGGTGATGGTGATGGAGGTGGTGGTGGTGATGGTTGTGGTGGTGGTGATGGAGGTGGTGGTGGTGATAGAGGTGGTGGTGGTGGTCATGGAGGTGGTGGTGATGGAGGTGGTGGTGGTGATAGAGGTGGTGGTGGTGGTGATGGAGGTGGTGGTGGTGATGGAGGTGGTGGTCGTGGTGGTGATGGAGGTGTTGGTGGTGGTGATGGAGGTGGTGATGGTGATAGAGGTGGTGGTGGTGGTAGTGGTGGTCATGGTGGTGGTGGTGATGGAGGTGGTGGTGGTGATGGTGATGGAGGTGGTGGTGGTGATGGTTGTGGTGGTGGTGATGGAGGTGGTGGTGATGGAGGTGGTGGTGGTGATAGAGGTGGTGGTGGTGGTGATGGAGGTGGTGGTCGTGGTGGTGATGGAGGTGGTGGTGGTGGTGATGGAGGTGGTGATGGTGATGGAGGTGGTGGTGGTGGTAGTGGTGGTCATGGTGGTGGTGGTGATGGAGGTGGTGGTGGTGATGGAGGTGGTGGTCGTGGTGGTTGTAGTGGTGGTGATGGAGGTGGAGTGGTGGTGGTGGTGATGGTTGTGGTGGTCATGGAGGTGATGGTGGTTGTGGTGGTGGTGGTGGTGGTTGTGATGGAGGTAGTGGTGGTGATGGTTGTGGTGGTGATGGTGGTGGTGGTGATGGAGGTGGTGGTGGTGATGGTGATGGAGGTGGTGGTGGTGATGGAGGTGGTGGTGGTCGTGGTGGTGATGGAGGTGATGGTGGTCGTGGTGGTGGTGGTGGTGGTGATGGTTGTGGTGGTCATGGAGGTGGTGGTGGTCATGGAGGTGATGGTGGTCATGGTGGCGGTGGTGGTGGTGATGGAGGTGGTGGTGGTGGTGATGGTTGTGGTGGTCATGGAGGTGATGGTGGTCATGGTGGTGGTGGTGGTGATGGAGGTGATGGAGGAGGTGGTGGTGATGGTGGTGGTGATGGAGGTGGTGGTGGTTGATGGAGGTGGTGGTGGGTGGTGATGGTTGTGGTGGTGATGGACGTGGTGGTGGTGGCAGTGATGGAGGTGATGGAGGTGGTGGTGGTGATGGGAGGTGGTGGTGGTTGATGGAGGTGGTGGTGGCGGGTGGTGATGGTTGTGGTGGTGATGGATGTGGTGGTGGTGGTGGTGGTGATGGAGATGGTTATGGAAATGGTAGTGGTGGTGGTGGTGGTGGTGATGGTGATGGTGATGGTGGTGGTAGGCACCTTTGATTGAACTGTCCCCACGGGCCAGCCACTATTAACATATCACCAACTGTATACCTTGTTGATGTTAACTTGTCAACAATCTGCAGCTTCCTCTTACAGATGAGGAAAGCAAGAATCAATGGCATTAGTCAGCTCGCCCAAGGTCACGACGTTAGAAAGTGGCAGAGCTGGGGATTGTCATGTTTACCAGGATTGAGTTACAGTGAGTCACAAAACCCACGTCATCCCCACAGACATTGATGCACATTCCGCATTTTGCCCCCACAGTGGTACCTTCTGCACAGAAGGCAGCCCAACTACGTATGCTGCAGTCAGGGGGACGCACTGTGGGGTGGGGGTCAACACCAATGGAAGAGGGAAGGAAGAGGCCCTGATTCTCCCCAGAAGGAAAAAGTAAAAAGTTACCTGAAGCCTTCAATTTCAAGACTGCCCTCGGCCAGTTTTGCCACATGATCAGAGACTTATTTATAGCCATCCGAATCCTGACACGTGCAATTGAAAGGGGAGAATGTTTTTAAAGTCCAGGGTAAGGGAAGCCACTGGTGGTTTTGAATTACAAATCCATTCCTCTCCTGACCCATGGATGCTGTCCTCTCCTGCCCAGTCACCTTAGGCTCCCCCAGCCCACTCCACACAAAAACAACATCAACAGCTGACAAAAAATCATGTACAATTACAAATACAAAGAAAAGCAGCCCTGGCAGGGGATAAGGCAAGGTTCTTGCTGCTTCTACAACTGTAAGTCTGGATATTTGCTCTGCCCCGTGTTCCTTCTCAGCAAAGCTATAACTTTGAGAGGATTGATGTTTGATTTACACAGAAAGATTGCTTGGCTCTGTCAAGATAAAAGTTTAAGTACCTGCCTTGCCACTGGTTTGTTCTGCTCCTCTGTAAGAAGAGGAACAAGGAACTAGAGGGAAAAAATTTTTTTTTCAACTTTGCAAACCAATCTATTCCTCCTTCCCTTTTGGTAAAGAAATATTTAAGTCGTATGCATTCTTGGAGAGAATTTTCAAAAAACACTCAGCCCACAAGAATTCTGTTCATCCCACAAAATCTGCCTTGGTCTTGCGTGCATTTGCTAACACTGCCTCCTCCACTTTCAGCCCATCAGCGTTTTCTTCTTTTGCCTTCAATACCAGTAGGTTAGGACCGCACAGACATCTGCCCCTTTCGGAAACAGCGCTCCACACCAGTGCTCTTTCCAAACACAGACTCCCATTTGAAGTCCTTGTAAAAGGATTAGAACAAAAAAGGCACGTATTTAACTGAACTTCGTTACGTTCTCCAGCAATTCCCTTTAGCTTTACCTGGGTTTCTCTATGATTGGCTGTTTTTTGTTTTGTTTAACTTATTTATTATGGTTACTGTCTAGTGTTCTTTGGTATTTCTTGCTGAAATTATTAAAACAAACAGCATCCAGTGTTTATTATGACGACTTACTATCTATGTGGCATAGTTTTTGAAAATAAGATTAACTGTGGGACAGGATGTTATCCCTTCCCAAGCAAGCTGGAGTGAAACTGCATCTTTCTGCCCAGAATCTAGGATTCCACTTCCTGCAGGTGACCACTTGGCTGCTGTGATGAGCCCGGAGGCTAGGGCGTCACCTGCAATTCAGATGTAAAACTCCGTGTGAATAACCCAATTCGGAGGAGTAAAAGTTTTGTTAGTATCGGTTCATTTCTATTCTTAACCTTACAGCATAATGTCAGGCTTACGCATGGCGTGAAATTCTGGTAAGTCCTACTACATCACGGAAGGGGATGCTTTTTCTAACAGAGGGCGTGAAATGTGCTGAAGGAATCTTTCCTTTCTCAATCCAGCCAGGAAGGGCAGTTGTCAGGCCTAGTATAGAAACAATATTTTTGGTCTTTACTTCAAATTTGTTTTCTATGACAGTGGATAATTTGGCCCTGGCATGGCAAAGTTGAATTGGGCTACTGGATCTGCAAATATAGAAATACTCCAAAAAAGTTTTACTGGGCCAGGTGCACTTTGGGAGGCTGAGGCAGGTGGATCACCTGAGGTCAGGAGTTCAAGACCAGCCTGGCCAACATGGCAAAACCCTGTCTCTACTAAAAATACAAAAATTGGCTGGGCATGGTGGCGTGCTCCTGTAGTCCCAGCTACTCAGGAGGCTGAGGCAGGATAATCGCTTGAACCCAGGGGCGGAGGTTGCAGTGAGCCAAGATCGTGCCACTGCACTGCAGCCTGGGTGACAGAGTAAGACTCCATCCTGGGGGAAAAAAAACCTCTTTTACTATTTTGAGGTATTTAAAATCAGTTGAAATTTCCTTAGTACATGATATCCTTGGGTTTGTTCAGTCCTAGTACTATAGGAGAAATATTTTAGTACCAGATTTTAATTTTGTTAAGAAAAATGGGGAATTATTTTCATTGGTAATTTTATTTTTCTTATTTTGCACTTAGGGATTGATATTTTCCTCCAAAGCAAAATGCAATTCAAACTAAAATTATTATTGATTTTTTGAGACAGAATCTTGCTCTGTCACCCAGGCTGGAATGCAGTGGCACTATCTTGGCTCACTGCAACCTCTGCCTCCCAGGTTCAAGCAATTCTCGTGCCTCGGCCTCCTGAGTAGCTGGGATTACAGGCATATGCCACCGCAACTAATTTTTATATTTTTAGTAGAAACGGGGTTTCACCATGTTGGCCAGGCTGGTCTTGAACTCCTGGCCTCAAGTGATCCACCTGCCTCGGCCTCCCAAAGTGCTGGGATTATAGGCATGAGCCACTGGGCACCGGGCCAGCTGCAGTTCAGCTAAAATTAAATGCTGGATGGTGGGGGATTCAAATATAAGAAGTTGTCCTTACTCTCAGGGTTCTCAATGATCAGCAGGAGAAACAGGCTCAAAACCACAAACAAGTACCTACAATAGGAAAAAAATATGTATAATTCAAGCTTAAATTAATATGCATTGCAACTCTGACAGTTAATTCAGCCTGGAGAAGAGAAGGCAGCGGAAACTAAAGAGAAGCGAGGCCACAGCAGCAGGCTATTAGTACATCAGGCGGTTTTGCCAAGAGAGCTTCTAACGGAGGAGATTCCAAGTGCAGGGAATAGCACATGCTCTGACATTGACAATTCTCATCCCACAACTAGGGTGTCATCTCCAGGGTCACAGTATAGTGGAGGTAGGAAGAGGGAGGGGCCATGAAGAGAATGAGACCAGAAAGAGAAATTCGCAAGATGTAACAGGTGCCCTCCTTGAGAAGGCAACAGTTGGGTACATTCTTGACAAAATGCCTCTCAGTATGTTTATCGTTTGAATTCATTAAAGCAATGGCTAATACGTCTGACCTAGCGCTTTAAGCAAAGGGAAGAGTGATACCTGGTCTTTATACTTGGTGAGAGGTATTTGATGAACACCTGGAGATGCATACCATTCATTTCATGCTCCTCACCATTGGAATTAAGCATAAAGTTACCCAAGCTTGCCATGGTCCTAAGACAGACATTTTTTTGTTGTTCTTCAGGCTTGTCTGAGACGACAGGAATATAGAAGAGACCCAAATGAGAAGAAACGTGATCAGTTTTGGGGGCAAGAGACAAGTTTTGAGAGATCCCGGTTTTCTAGCAGGTCATCTTCCAAACAGGTATGAAGAATTCTGGGAGACAGTCTCCTGGGGCTGCTGCTGCTGCTGGTGGTGGTGGGGTGTGTGTGCGCGTGCGTGCGTGTGTGCGTGCGTGCGTGTGTGCGTGCGTGCGTGTGTGTGATTTAGGAAAAAGCCAACTCAAAAAGGAGATGCTGCAGAATCCCAAAGGTCAGGGCAGGGAGAGCCAGGGGCAGGAAGGAGCCCAGGGCTGGGAACTCCCTTCCTTGGGACACCACCCCTGTGGCTCCCAGCTCTGCAGTCTTCACGTCTCACTATGGTTGGGCCTCACTCCTCTTTCCTGTAGATAAAGGTCCTGAAACAGATGGTCTATAAGACACCATCCAGATGAGAAGCACCGCAACTCTTTAAGATTTGGAGGCACTGGGCCTTCTGAAGCACAGCGTCATCTCTGTGGCATATGGTCTAACTTGATGCAAGATTGGGCCTAGTTTTTATTTCTGATGAAGGAAGAGAGTAAAATGTGGTAATAACTATATCATGTAATAATTGGAAATTGTTTAAATATTTTTGCCTAGAATGATATAACAATATGATGATAATAACAATATGATAATATGATTAATAATAGTATCATTGTAATAGTAATTAAGCGGTTACCATTATTTCAGTGCTTGCAACATTCCAGGCACTATGTGAAGCACTTTATACATATTAGCTTATTTAATTCTTATAAATGTATATATCTATCACCTCTCCTTATCAATCTATCTGTCTATCTGTCTATCCATCCATCTATCCATCTTTGCCCCACTTTACAGATGAGAAAACTGGGCCTTACAGAAATTGCAAAACTTTACCTAAGATTTCACAGCCAGTGTGGTAGAGATTCCATTCTAGGCAGTCTGACCCCAGAGAAGGTGCTCCGATTCGCTAAGCTCTAGGATCGTATTTTCATGTTTAAGATCTTATCTAAGAATTTTACTTATCCTATGTAAGAGCGCAATACCACAAGCTGTATTCAACACTGATTGTTAGCATGGTGAATTGATTTAAGATGAGTAATATGCCTTTTATGAATTCCTATTTAATATTTAATGCCTGAAATATACTCTACAGGAGGGACTCCCTCTGTCCTACCAGTGGTGTGGATTCTGAGATAGATCCTGAATACACGATATCAATCAAGTTCTTGTTGAGAATTCTTTTTTAATCTAAGATGTTCACACTGTGGTTATTTAACGTTCAAAGGACACCTTAAAAACATCCGTGATTGATGTTTATAGAAGCAGATGTATCCCTGGGAGAGAGATATGCTCTCTATTAAGGAATATAAAATCACACAATAAAATATTTCACCTAGAGTCTGAAGGTGAAACAGACTCTCTCACAATATTGGCAGTACCAAGAACACGTTGCCTGGATCGTTTCCTGTTAGTCAAAGACTAAATATAATGCCTGCTGCTGATTAAACTTATGGAGTGAGATTAATGCAAAAATTAAATCTAGTTTGGCTAGAACAACACATTTTTAGCATTAAGATATATTCTCACATTTTTACACTCAGAAATAAGATCAAGGATAGATAAGAAAATATAATTTAAGTCAAACAGTAGCACGCAGCAGTCTTCCCAGATTGGAATTGCTAAACAAGTGGGCAGCTGGGTTCCTCTGCAGGGAACTTTCATGCAGAGGCTCATGTGCATAGTCACGGCCATTTTATGTGCAATACTCATGCATCTGGGATATTCAGGATTTGAAATTTTATGTTCCTTTTCACACTTAAGCTTATGGGACAAGCTGGTGTCAGATTCCTATAGTTTTCTTCTTCCTGCTATACAAATTGTGCATTCTTTAAACCATCATTGCAAAACACTCACACCACTTCTGAAAAAGGCCATGGTCGTATACATAAAAGTAATTCTGTGAAATAGCTTCTATAGTACAGTTTATATGGATCTTATTTCCCAATAATTTTATTATTCACCCCTACCCAATACAACATTTTTTTTTAATTATACTTTAAGTTCTAGGGTACATGTGCACAACGTGCAGGTTTGTTACATAGGTATACATGTGCCGTGTTGGTTTGCTGCACTCATTAACTCGTCATCTACATTAGGTATTTCTCCTAATGCTATCCCTCCCCCAGCCCCCCACCAAGTGACATGCCCCGGTGTGTGATGTTCCCCACCCTGTGTCCATGTGTTCTCATTGTTCAATTCCCACCTATGAGTAAGAACATGCAGTGTTTGGTTTTCTGTTCCTGTGTTAGTTTGCTGAGAATGATGGTTTCCATCTTCATCCATGTCCCTGCAAAGGACATGAACTCATCATTTTTTATGGCTGCATGGTATTCCATGGTTTATATGTGCCACATTTTCTTAATTCAGTCTGTCATTGATGGATATTTGGGTTGGTTCCAAGTCTTTGCTATTGTGAATAGTGCCGCAATAAACATACATGTGCATGTGTCTTTATAGTAGCATGATTTATGATCCTTTGGGTATATACCCAGTAATGGGATTGCTGGGTCAAATATTTCTAGTTCTAGATCCTTGAGGAATCGCCACACTGTCTTCAGTTCAACTATGGTGGAACTAGTTTACACTCCCGCCAACCATGTAAAAGTCTTCCTATTTCTCCACTTCCTCTCTAGCATCTGTTGTTTCCTGACATTTTAATGATCGCCATTCTAACTGGTGCGAGATGGTATCTCATTGTGTTTTTGATTTGCATTTCTCTGATGACCAGTGATGATGAGCATTTTTTCATGTGTCTGTTGGCTGCATAGATGTCTTCTTTTGAAAAGTGTCTGTTCATATCCTTTGCCCCCTTTTCGATGGGGTGGTTTCTTTTTTTTCTGGTAGATTTGTTTAAGTTCTTTGTAGATTCTGGATATTAGCCCTTTGTCAGATGGGTAGATTGCAAAAATTTTCTCCCATTCTGTAGGTTGCCTCTTCACTCTGATGGTAGTTTATTTTGCTATGCAGAAGCTCTTTAGTTTAATTAGATCCCATTTGTCTATTTTGGCTTTTGTTGCCACTGCTTTTGGTGTTTTAGTCATGAAGTCCTCGCCCATGCCTATGTCCTGAATGGTATTGCCTAGATTTTCTTCTAGGATTTTTATGGTTTTAGGTCTAACATTTAAGTCTTTAATCCATCTTGAATTAATTTTTACCTAAGGTGTAAGGAAGGGATTCAGTTTCAGCTTTCTACATATGGCTAGCCAGTTTCCCCAGCACCATTTATTAAACAGGGAATCCTTTCCCAATTTCTTGTTTTTGTCAGGTTTGTCGAAGATCAGATGATTGTAGATGTGTGGTGTTATTTCTGAGGCCTCTTTTCTGTTCCATTGGTCTATATATCTGTTCTGGTATCAGTACCATGCTGTTTTGGTTACTGTAGCCTTGTAGTATTGTTTAAAGTCAGGTAGCGTGATGCCTCCAGCTTTGTACTTTTGGCTTAGGATTGTCTTGGCAATGCGGGCTCTTTTTTGGTTCCGTATGAACTTTAAAGTAGTTTTTTCCAATTCTGTGAAGAAAATCATTGGTAGCTTGATGGGGATGGCATTGAATCTATAAATTACCTTGGGCAATATGGCCAATTTTCACGATATTGATTCTTCCTATCCATGAGCATGGAATGTTCTTCCATTTGGTTTTGTCCTCTTTTATTTCGTTTAGCAGTGGTTTATAGTTCTTCTTGAAGAGGTCCTTCACATCCCTTGTAAGTTGGATTCCTAGGTATTTTATTCTCTTTGTAGCAATTGTGAATGGGAGTTCACTCATGATTTGGCTCTCTGTTTGTCTATTATTGGTGTATAGGAATGCTTGTGATTTTTGCACGTCGATTTTGTATCCTGAGACTTTGCTGAAGTTGCTTATCAGCTCGAAGAGATTATGGACTGAGACGATGGGGTTTTCTAAATATACAATCATGTCATCTTCAAACAGGAACAGTTTGACTTCCTCTTTTCCTAAATGAATACCCTTTATTTCTTTCTCTTGCCTGATTGTCCTGGCCAGAACTTCCAACACTATGTCAAATAGGAGTGGTGAGAGAGGGCATTCCTGTCTTGTGCCGGTTTTCAAAGGGAATGCATCCAGTTTTTGCCCATTCAGTATGATATTGGCTGTGGGTTTGTCATAAATAGCTCTTATAATTTTGAGATATGTTTCATCAATACCTAGTTTATTGAGAGTTTTTAGCATGAAGCGCTGTTGAATTTTGTCAAAGGCCTTTTCTGCATCTATTGAGATAATCATGTGGTTTTTGTCATTGGTTCTGTTTATGTGATGGGTTACGTTTATTGTTTTGCATATGTTGAACCAGCCTTGCATCCCAGGGATGAAGCCAACTTGATCGTGTTGGATAAGCTTTTTGATGTGCTGCTGGATTCGGTTTGCTAGTATTTTATTGAGGGTTTTCGCATCGATGTTCATCAGGGATATTGGTCTAAAATTCTCTTTTTTTGTTGTGTTTCTACCAGACTTTGGTATCAGGATGATGTTGGCCTCATAAAATGAGTTAGGGAGGATTCCCTCTTTTTCTATTGATTGGAATAGTTTCAGAAGGAATGGTACCAGCTCCTCTTTGTACCTCTGCTAGAATTCGGCTGTGAATCTGTCTGGTCCTGGACTTTTTTTGGTTGGTAGCCTATTAATGATTGCCTCAGTTTCAGAACCTGTTATTGGTCTATTCAGGGATTCGACTTCTTCCTGGTTTAGCCTTGGGAGGGTGTACGTGTCCAGGAATTTATCCATTTATCCATTCTTCTAGGTTTTCTAGTTTATTTGTGTAGAGGTGTTTATAGTATTCTCTGATGGTAGTTTGTATTTCTGTGGGATCGGTGGTGATATCCCCTTTATCATTTTTTGTTGTGTCTATTTGATTCTTCTCTCTTTTCCTCTTTATTAGTCTTGGCAGCAGTCTACCAATTTTGTTGATCTTTTCGAAAAACCAACTCCTGGATTCATTGATTTTTTGAAGGGTTTTTTGTGTCTCTATCTCCTTCAGTTCTGCTCTGATCATAGTTATTT